AAAAAAAAAGAGGACAGAAAAATACAAAAACTCAAAAAATGCAAAAAAAGAAAAGAAAACCCATAAAAAATACAACAAAGAAAAATAGCAAACTCCCCCCCCAAAAAAAATCAGAGAGAAAAGCAAACAAGAAAAAAGGAAAAAAAAAAAAAAAACAAACCCGTAAAAGAGAACCCCCCCAAAAGACAACAAGAAAAAGCAAAGAAAACAACAACAACAACAAAAAACAAAAAACAAAAAACAAAAAAAAAGCAAGAAAGAAAAGAAAGAGCAGGGTGCCCTTACCAGTGGTCCGGTCTCAGGGGCCTGTAGGGGGAGACAAGTGCAATTGGTCTCTGGGGCAGGCTAGGCCAGGGGGCCCTAGGGTCAGGCTAGGGCAGGGGGGCCTAGGGGGGCTCTTTTTTTCCTTCCTTCCATCCTTCTTTCCTTTGTTCCCTGCCTTCCTGCTATCCCTTCCCTCCCTTCCTTTCTGCCTTTCTTGCCTTTTCTTCCTTCCTTCCTTCCTTCCTTCTTTCCTTCTTTCTTTTGGGTCTGTTTCTCTCTCTCTCTCTCTCCCTCTCTCTCTCTCTCATTTCCTTCTTTCTTCTAGCCCACCTATGTCCCTCCTGGCCTGCCCTGCCACTAGCAGGCAGGAGGCCCTGGCCTGACCTCCCCTTGGGCCCCCAAGAAAGAAAGAAAGAACCCCCCCCAGGGAACTCCCAGCCTGGCCTGTCTCTAAGAGACCCTCTGACCTCACCTGGCCTGTCCTGCCACTAACGGTGCCCCTGGACTTTCCCGGCCTGCCACTAACGGTCCCTGGCCAGGCCTGCTAAGGGCCCCACTGCCACTATGGGTGAGCCTGACCAGGTATAGAGAAGAGACCCACTGGTTGGGCTTGCCTCAGGTCTGCCCTGGCCTGCCTCTAAGAGACCCCCAGGGCAGGCCATGCCAGTCCAGGGGGTCTCTTACAAGCAGGCAGGTGAGGCCAGGGGGGCCATAGCACTAAGCAGGCCAAGGGGGCCATGGGCCAGGCCATTCAAAGAGGGCCCTTAGTGACAGGGCAAGCCAGGCTGGGTGATCTCTTAGAGGCAGGCCAGGGGGGCTCTTAGCACCAAGACAGGCCAAGGGGGCCCAGGGGCAGGCCAGTCAAGTGGGGCACTTAGTGGCAGGGGTTCCCTTCATGGCAGGGTGGCCCTTATGGCTGTGGTCTGCTAGGGACAGACTTGTAAAGGGGGGACCTATGGCAGAACAACCAGTGGATTCCTTGGGCAGGACAGTCCAGGCTGGCCCTTAGTGGTAGGAGGACTTTGGCAGCATACCTGGCCAGGGAAGCCCTTAGTGGCAGGCAAGGGCACAGAGGCCCTAGGGACAGGTCAGGCCATGGGTGCCCTTAGTGGCAGATCAGGCCAGGAAAGAGGTGGCCCAAAATGCTAGGCCAGGACAGGCAAGCAGGTCCCTTGGGACAGCCCAGGAGAGGTCAGGGGGGTCCTTGGCTCTGAGCCAGTCTCAGCCAGGCCAGCAGTGTCCTAGGGACAGTCCAGGCTAGGCTAGGGAAGCCCTAGGGGCAGGCCATGAAGGGCCAGGGCTTCCCTAGGAGCAACCCATGCCAGGTTAGGGGGCACCTGGGGTAAGCCTGTCTGGCCAGGGGGGCCCTAGTGGCAGTCCAGGCCACCCTATGGGGTCCCTAGAGGCAGGCCAGGGCAGGGGACCCTAGGGACAGGAAAGGCCACTGGGCCTCTTAGTGCCAGGCCAGGCCAGGGAGGTCCTTAGCAGAAGGGGTCCATTAGCAGCACGGGGGTCCGGAACAGTAGGCCTGGCCATGGAGGCCCTTTGTGCCAAGTATTCTGCTATAGCCACACAAAACGGGCTAAAACAGAAAATTAGGAGCAGGCTGTTGCTCATAACAAACACTTGAAAATGTGGAAATGGCTTCCGAACTGGATGTTCAGAGTTTGGAGGACTCAGAAGAAGACAAAAAGATGAGGGAAAGTTTGGAATGTCTTAGAGACCTATGAGATGGTAGTGAGCTGAATGCTTATGGAAATATGGACTGTAAAGACCATTTGAAGGAGGTCTCAGAAAAAAGGAGTTTATTGGAAACTAGAGCAAAGATCACCCTTGCTGTGAACTGGCAAAGAACTTGGCTGCATTGTTTCCATGCCCTAGGACTGTGTGGAAGTTGGAACTTAAGAGTTGCGAACCTGAGTATTTGGTGGAAGAAATTTCTAAGCAGCAAAGCATTAAGGAAGCTGCATGCATACTTGTAAGAGCCTACTCTGAGTTATGGTGGAAAAGGCATGATGTAAAGCCAGAATTTAAAAGGGAAGCGGAGTGTAAAGATTTGGAAAATTTGCAGCCTGGCCATGTGGTAGAGAAGCAGAGAGCATTTGCAGAAGGAAAATTCAATGGTACTAAGAAGATTAACACAATAGAACGGGATTATCAAGAGGAGAAAAAGGCCCTGAAGCCACTGTAGAAGCCTCTGGAGCCAACACTTCCATTTCAGGCCCAAAGATCTAGGGAGACAAAATGGTCTTGGAGCCTGGCACATAGCAGGAGAACAAGAAAAAATAAAGTTTTTAATTGAAACAAATGGTTATACATATTTTGGGGGTACAGAGTTGACTATTGTTCTTGTCTGCAATACGTGATGGTCAAATCAGGATAACTGGCATATTCATCCTTACAAAACAAATTTGTTAAATGACCAAATGATTATCACTACATTTCCTACTCCAATGTGTGTGCCTCTTTGGGGGTCTCTGAATGGGTTTTTGGTCTTTCCTTCCTTCATTCACTCACACATATTTACTGAGCACCTACTATGTGCCAGGCAGTACTGTAAATATGGGAAATGTGGGCAAGGCCCTGCTCCTGTGGGATTTTATTCAGGTGTGGGAGGCAAACAAAAACAGGAGGGCAAACTTATGAAATAATTTCCGATGTTATTGATGGGATGAGGTGTGGGGTTTACTAACAGTAGTAAAGCAAATGTATTTTCACAGGGCCTAGCTTCCAAAGCCCTGTAATTTCAGGTATAACCTAACTTTTTAAAATTACATATAGAAAAGTTAAGCTTGCAAAAGACAGGAAACTCCCCAGGCTAAAGTCTTTGTTGTAGATAAAGAATTGTAACACAGCAAAATTGCTGGCTCAAGGACAGAGGCCCTTGATGCAGATTAACCTACTGATTGATATTTTAAGAAAGTTGCTTGATTGTTATGTAAATATACTGAGGAAACTGCTGTAGGAAAAGACAGTATTCGCTAAGAACAAGCTTTTATTGGTGGATCAAC